AAATATTTTAAATTTGAATTTTTAAACTTTCGAATATATTTTGTTTAAATATTTTAATTTTTTCAAATATTTAATTTAATTTTAGTTATTATGAATTAAATATTTTAAATTTCAACTTCAATATTTTCGAATTGATCAAAATATAGTTCTAAAATTTAAATATCTAAGTTGGTCAAAAATTGGTTAGAATATATGGTCTAAAATTGGTCAAAATATATAGTTCCGACCATTTTGATTGATCAAAAAATTTTGATGATTTTATTGGTCAGAATCAAAATTTTGACCACTTTATTGGTCAGACCAAAATTTTGACCATTTTTATTGGTCAAAACGTTTAGACTATTTTCTGACCAAGTTCCATTTGCGACCATCGATTTTTGAAGAATCCATTTTGGTCATGTACTAATCAGAAATAGTTGTTTTTGACCAATTTTAGACCAAATTGATTGTCAAAATTAGAATGTTTTCTTGTAGTTTATTGGTGCAATATCAGAATCTACAAATTGTTAGACAGCTCTATGCTTGGACAACACCTAAGTTTATCGATACAAGGAGTATCACAAAAGAAGATACCAAAACCAAAGAGTTGGTCTCAAAAGTAAATAAAGTAGAACCATTGATGATGTGTACGTGATACAACTAAACCACAAAAGAGGAAATACGAATTAATTTAGAAAGAACATTAGAGACTATTTTTATCTCTACACCAACAACTTATTTAATTGTAGAGATGATTTGTCTTGTTGTCCCAAGAGAATGTCCCACCATCGATACATCCGCTGGCATAAATGAATTCAGGAGACTCGTATGATCATTAAGATCTCCCTTACCAAGTTTTAGTATAATCATAATCATTAAAACAATTAAACAAAGATTATTTTTTTGGGAGATTAGCTAGAATAACCTACTTTTTTTTAAAATAGGTAGAATAACCTTACTATTTTTTTATTGCTGAAATAACATATTCTAGGTTTTTTTTTCTTTCATAATACCAAAATTGTCCTTCGCAGACTCTGCCGAAACATTGGCAGACTCTGCCGAAACATTGGCAGACTCTACCGATGTATTGGCAGACTCTACCGATGTATTGGCAGACTCTGCCAATATCTAAAAATACGCAGACTCTGCCAAAACATTGGCAGACTCCGCCGAGGTATTGGCAGAAT